CCTGTTCAGCGACTCTGGAGCTCAAAACGCGTCTGGAGTTTTGTCCGCCTCCACCGGTCTTGGCCCACTGAGCGCCGCCCAGCTACACCGCGACGTGTCTGGCCGAAGAGTTTGCTGGGAAAGAGCGCCTGGAGAACAACACACCTTGATAGACGGACAGCTGACACATGCTTCACTGGAACGCTTCGGGTGCCCCTCGGACTGCAACCAGTGGTGCGTTCAAGTCTCTGGAACTGGAGGCACCCCGCTGTCGCTTATTGTTCTGATTCGAATTAGATCGGACAGCGCTGCCCCGCCCCGCCCCGCCCCTCCTCACCCCGCCCCGCCCCGCCCACGGCACGCGGCGGGCGGGCTGCACTTACGCCCCGGAACGAATGCGAGCAGGACGACTCATTGTACCGGTGCGTGTGGTTGCCTTATCGGAAGTACCGACACCTTAGCTACGCCTTGCTTCGCCCCTGGCCCTGCCCCACAGCCGCGTACGGGGCTGCTGATCGGTCGTAAAGAGGGGCCGAGACTCGGGGCGGGGCGGGGCGGGGCGGGGCGGGGCGGGGCGCGGCGGGCGGGGCCCACCCTCGCGTTGGACACGCTGCGGCGGCGTACCGATCATTAATTGTGCCGCCCATATGATCAACGGGACCGCTGTCTTCATCGCACCATTGACCAGCACGGGTCGCACCCGTTACGACCTTGTCGCAGACGGACGGACAGACAGACAGACAGAGACACAGACAGACAGACAGACAGACAGAAAGACAGACAGACACAGACAGACACAGACAGACGGACAGGCACAGACAGACATACAGACAGACACACAGACAGAGACAGACACAGACAGACAGCAGACAGACAGACAGACAGACACACAGGGCGTGGCGCGTGGCCGCTGCGACCACCAGGACAGAGATTTCAATTTCTGGGACTCGTGGACTCGTCCCATTGCGAGTCGTCGTAAAGTGGCCCAGTGGCCCTGCTCGGCCCGCCATGCCTCGGGCAGCGTCGGGCCTCGGAGGTGACTGGGGCATCGGCTCTATGGCATCGACTTCGGAGGTGTGGCGCCCACCGGCCACGAGAGAGAGAGAGAGAGAGAGAGAGAGAGAGAGAGAGAGAGAGAGAGAGAGAGAGAGAGAGAGAGAGGTGTCGGTCGGACACGAAATCAATGATAGACCGCCCCCGGCTTTCATTAACATCCCCCTTCTCTCCTCCACTCTCCTCCAATTACCTTGGTCGACCCGAAAAAAAAACGCAAATCAAAACTAACTCGAAAATAAAATTGTTCAAACCTAATATGAGCAAAAACTTGTACCATGGTCAACAATAATTCAATAAATTTTTATTGTCTTCTTGAGCACGTCCTTCACCAAGTCATGCGGCCTGCTTCGGCCTGCAGACTAATTCTGAGAGTCGTTTTCATCGCTCTGTCTCTCTCGCACTCGTGCGGCATCCTAGGCAGGTGCGCGGCAGAGACAGAGCGACGAAAACGACTGTCGGAAATCAGTCTGCTGCACCAGAAGCACGAAAGCATGCGAGCTTTGGGGTGGAACAGCGCCCGAGGTGAACGGCTGCGTTCAGTCGGACGGCCGAGCAGGGAATGACCACCGCCTCGACCTCGCGAGTCGCCTTCGTGCGGAAATGGGATTTCCTCTCCGCGGGCAGCCCAAGGGAGCCCAAGGTGCAGCTGCTTTACATTTCGGCTTTGGCCGTCAAAAATTCCCCCTGATTTATCGGCCACTCGGCAAAGGGAGCCATTTTCCCTTTAGTTTTAATTGCCCTGCCGCACTGCCGGCAGAGTCGTCTCTGTCTCTCTCGCACTCGTGGGGCTCTCCGTCAGGGTGCGAGAGAGACAGAGCGCTGGCGACGCCATGCCGCGAGCTGCGCCCAAGCGGCTCTATCACAATGTTATGAAAGGCACGCTTTACGAACCAGTCGGGCCCGTCCAGTGGACTGCCCAGTGGACAGCGTCCACCGCGCGGACAGCCATCCAAATACCAATCATTCGTTTGCATTCAGGTTGGCCTGGCCGAGGGCCCGGCCCCCCTGCTAGCACGCCGACGACGACTAGCGCCCCCCAGCGGGGGTGCCAGCCGGCCAGCCAGCCTGCTACGACACTGTCCAAATCTAACCTCATGCACGCAGTTTCCCTTTAGAAAGAATCTCCTGCCTCCCGCGCGCTCTGATCTGTGTGTGTGTATGTGTGCGTGTGTGTGTTAAGTTGCATGAGTAACACTTGGACCTCGCAGTAAATATTCCATACTGTTGCGGTGGCAACACTGCCGCTGCTGTGATCCCGAATCGGCGTCCCTAAATCAGGGCGTGGCGATCGAGTCGCCAAAAGTCGTGTACTTGCTGGGCTCCTCGATAAAACATGCGTTTATTGCGTATGGCCGCGTGTCCCGGCGTGTCGCACTGCAGGGCACGGCAATGGCACGGCACCGTGCGCGTGAGCTACACGTCCTCGATCAGGCCGCCTCAGCAGCGCCATGGTCACAGATTGCTGCCTAACCGCACCTGGCCGCATCTAACCTCATATGACCTCGTCTAACCTCATCTAAGCTCCACCTCACCTGGTCTCACCTGACCTCACATCTAAGCTCCACTTTACCTGGCCTCATCTAACCTCATCTAAGCTCTACCTCACCTGACCTGACCTAACCTCATCTAAGCTCTACCTCACCTGACCTGACCTAACCTCACTTTAAGCCACCACGTTGAAGATCCTTACATCTTTTTTTACTATTCATTTCCCCTGACCTCATACAACATCTTAGCCCACCTCACCTGACTTCACGTAGCCTCATCTAAGCTACACCTGATCTCATCTAAGCTCACATCGCCTAACCTCATCCAAGCCAACTTCACCTCAAGTTCACTTTTGGCCAGTATCTTGAAGCTCCTTACACCTCCCTTGACCTTACCCAGCCAGACTTCATGTATACCACACCTCATCTGAGCTCACCTTTCCTCACGCTAAACCTTAAATTTCCTTACACCTTCCCAGAACTTACCTCACCTAAGCTCACCCAACCTTGCAGAACCTGACCTAACTCAATTTAAATTGACCTGACCTAACCTGCGGGCGCCGCCAGACAGAAGTCAAAATAGAAAATCAAACATCGCGCTGGCAGAGTTGGGTCAACAAACCGGAACAGAATGAAGTGGGGCCTTTTAGCGAGAACCACCGCCGCCGGGCGCCACCCCATGCCCGTTCGGCACGCGAGGGAATGACTCAGGAGGAGGAGGAGGACGAGGAGGAGGAGGACGACGACGACGAGGAGGGCGAGGAGGAGGAGGGAGGCCTTCAATGGACCTTACTACAATTTGGCAGCCGCAAGGGCGATGGCCTTATTTAACACTTCTTCTCCCACTTGTAAATTCGCTTTCTTTGTGTATGGCCCTTCTTTTTCCCCTCCCCCTCCCCTCGGCGGCCCTCCCTCGGAATGTTGTGCACCCTACCGCGGCTTAATATTCACGCGCAATGACACCCCCCGCACCTGCAGGCTCATTTTGCCCCCCCCCCCCCCTCTCTCTCTCTCTCTCTCTCTCTCTCTCTCTGTCTCTCTCTCTCCTACCCCATGAATGCGGGCGAGAGAGAGACAGGCAGCAAACAGAAGCACTGCTGACGGAGTGACCACCGCGGCGTGTGACGCGAATTCCAGCGCGACTCCAGAGAGTTATAGCGGCCCGTGATGACTCGCCCGGCCACGACTAATGGTCGCCGTTGTCACACCACTGTGGCACCACAAACGTCTTCATAATCGGCGTCGCGCGGATCTGGCCGAATGCGGTCTTGTGTGTGAGTGTGTCTGTGTGAGTGTGTCTGTGTGTGTGAGTGTGTGTGTGTTGTGTCCGCGCTTTTGCGCAACATGCTATAAAGTATAGTTTTGTGGCGGGCAGCCCAGAGAGGATCTCCACAGTAGCCCGCCGTCCGTTAGTTTGTGGTCGCACCTCCTTGGACGCGCCGAGAAAGAGAGAGAGAGAGAGAGAGAGAGAGAGAGAGAGAGGGGAGAGAGAGAGAGAGAGAGAGAGAGAAAGAGAGAGAGAGAGAGAGAGAGAGAGGTCTGAGGGGAACGGTGGCGACGACACGCGTTCCGCCCCCACTCGGCGGGCTGGAGAAGGCTGCTGGGGTGGTCTGGCCCTGGAGCGCGGTCTGGAGGGGCGGCCGCCGCCTCCAGTGTGTTCCAGTGCTCTCCAGCACGCGAGTGAGGGTGTTCACCCCCTGCCCTAGCCCACGGAAATTCCTCGCGGCATTCAGGTTCAGATCTAGATTCAGGTCCACATTCCGAACGGCAGCTCGTCGCCTTGCTTCGCGGCGCGCACTCGCTCTGTCCTCTTTCTTTATCGTCTGGCCGGTCGTCCGCGGCGCCAGGTGGGATGAGATTCACCCACCGTAAAAAAAAACGGAATTCGAGCTATTTCTAAGGTTAATTTGGACTCACCCAATCGCAGTCGCGAACTCGAACGTCGAAAGGCAGCATGCGGCCCTGAAATAAATAAATTGGGTATTAACAGAGGTGCCTCTGGCATGAAGGATCTTCTTGCATTTACGATGGTTGTTCGCAGATTCATGGAGAATATTTGAATATGATGAATCGGATGATGAGTATAATGATAATGAATATAATGATAATGAATCTGATGATGAATCTGATGATGATGAATCAGATGATGATGAATCAGATGATGATGAATCAGATGATGATGAATCAGATGATGATGAATCAGATGATGATGAATCAGATGATGAATAATCAGATGATGAATCAGATGATGATGGTGATGATAATGATGATATGCTATCTCGTTTGATGGCAAAGAGTTTTATCAAGCTGTTGTCACGCACATGAAATAAGTGTTGAAGCTGAAACCGTCTTCACTTTTGAATTGATGAAAATATCACTCACAATTTTGACACGAAGTGACAACAAATCCAGATCCAGACAGAGCGACGTATGATGACGACGACTAACCCCGCGTGTCTCCCTCTCTCTGCCCGCCAGGCCCCAGCTGCACCTGCGCCAGGTGACGGACGGCCGCCACTTCGTGCAGCTCATCTACTCCGGCGCCGAGGAGCTCCGCGACTGCGAGTACGTGGAGCACGAGCCCTCGGTGCGCGCCTTCCTGCAGGCCTTCCACGACGACATGGAGGCCGTGCGGCACGGCAGCGCGTCCGAGGCCAGGAACGTGACGGTGCGCGTCCTCGGTGACGACGAGGCCCTCCCCGACGACGTGGCCGCCTGGCTGGACTACCCCAGGCTGCGCGCCGACTGCGAGCGCAACCACCAGGAGATGCGCAGGCTGGTGGACGGCCACGAGCGCGGCGAGGAGGCCGCCAAGCACGAGCTGGAGAGGTGAGGACCACAACACTAAGAACGGAACTCAATTTGTTTTTGTGGTGTGGGTGGCACGGCATGAACACGCTGAGAGTCAACTCAGACCCTTGATTGTAAAATAAGATTTAAAAAGAAACTTTAATTTTTGTTGAGTTCATCAGATAACATTCAATGCCTTGTCAGCTTTAGATAATGACAACACTGCACAGCTGGTGGTAAGTTTGCTTGCCACAAATTTGGTAAGCCGTTTTCAGTGCCAAAAATTGGCAAGCTTGGCCCGGAAATACCACCTTGCTTGCCAAAATTTGGCAAGCTTATGAAAATTTCCGACCAAAGCTTGCCAAATTTTGGCATTCAAAACGGCTTGCCAAATTTGTGGCAAGCAAACTTACCACTGGCTTTGCAGTGAAAGTTCGAAGATTCAAAAATTAACGAAGGGGATAGTGGGGCACATTGGTCCGGTTCTGTTTCTTTTGGCTATCCGAGCGTCAGTCGCTTTGTTTTCGCAAAATTTATGGACTTATGTGCCCCACTCTCCCCTAACCAAAAATATTTTCACGGGTAGCATGTTCAATTTGTATTTAAATCAGAGTGGCATGATTGACATGGGTCGGAAGCACCGCATCAGTTTGTGAACGGCATGTGAGATCCATCCTGTTTGCAAAGTGTCAACACGTGTTTGTGTTTGCTTTTCTTCACAACTCTGTTAGAAACCAGGAGCGCCGTTCAGTGTTTCTTTCCGATTCTCTATGACGAATTGGAAGTCACTGACACTGTGTGCATCCCTTCTGTAATCTATCAACCTGTGTGTGTGTGTGTGTGTGTGTGTGTGTGTGTTAAAACACTGCTCTATTTCTAACTGAAAGGGGAAACCCCGTGTGCTAACGATGTGTGGTCGTACCGAGCCGCACCGTGCACTGTGCTACCAACCACCGCACCGAAACAGCAGCAGCAAAGGCATGCGACTCAACGCTTGGAAAAGGCACCGAGAGCAAGGCAGGAGTACCGACCCTTCGGAGCAGCGACAGCGAACCCACCGTCGTTCTGCGATTGGCTCACTAATCATCAAGCCCCCCTAACCGGAGCTTCCTTTCTTTTCCCCTCCGCTTGCATTCTGTAGCGAAATACTCGTAGAGACTTTAATGCGTGGGAATCACACGCTTCTCGAGTGCCATACTCGGTAATTGCTAGAAAAAAAAGACCTTTCTCAGGTCGTTACTCTAACAATGAGAGGAATGCTTACGCCTCTATAGAATTAAAAAAAACTTCTGAAAAAATTATTTTCCACTTCGATAATTTTAAGCTGTTTAAGCTCGATAGTTTAGTTTCTTCATTGTTGCATACACTGTCATAGTATAGTTGCATGTGCAATTAGCAACGTTTTTGGGCTTATTCGTTTTGCAAATGATTGTTTTTCACAAAATCAAATCTTCTGCACTGTGCACATGCATACGTTTATCTGTACAGCACCTCAGTTGTCCTTGTTTTGCTATGCACTTTTCAGTGGCTTGTATTTTCCTGTTGCGTAGTTTGTATTGGTTGTGCTTCTGTGCCGCGGAGCCTTCTAGAAAGTATCTGCTGGGCCTCTACTGCCTTCTAGTTTATGCACCGTGCTACTTCCCTCGATAAGATCCCACTAGTTTGGCCAGCTCAGCTCTCAGCCAGCGAGCTGCGGGTCCCTCACAAGCAGATAAACTCCTTTTAGCTCCCAAACGTCCTTTTCTCAGAATTTACAAAATTTGCGGTCTCTAGAAAACCGAAAAAATTAACGGTGGCGTTTTGCGTCACCTCAATCGGAGGCGTCGATGAAGGGGCCGCACCCGTTTCCCATTCATGTATGCGAGGAATTCATTTTACCGCTCGTAAAAACAACTTTTAGTGGCCTCAAATTTTTATTGGGCAAAGAAAGAGCCGACAGACATGAAGGGAACGGCTGCATTTTCCTCCTCGCCGTTCTGCAAGGCCACGGTCCTGCATTAGCATTTTCCAATTTCCTGTGTGGATCTGTAACCAACAGGAGCCGCTTTACTTGTATGGGCGTTTCTGGTTCAAGCTGACAAATCGTGTAGATACTTCCGTAATTTCACTTTCACTCTCTCATTCATTCTCGTGGAATCCCCTTGTTTACTTTTTGCTGTCCTTTCAAGCGGCCTATCGGCTGTCGCCACACCCCGCTCTCAACCAGAAGGGAACGGCCGCCAGATAAAACCATTTACATCCTTGCATTATTTTTTTCGACCGGTTCGCGAGATGACCAACTGCCTCTTCATAAATCGGCGGGGCCCTTTACTCACGGCCTTCCCCGCACCTTCAAGGTGCTGTCGCGCAGTCCAATAAACAATAAAAACGGAATCCTCGACGCCCAAGGTGGGCCGCGTAGAATCATTTCAGTGAATCAGAAAAAGAAAACGTAAAATGGGACGAGCTTTCCATGTTCAAGCAAAAAATTTAACTTCGGACATATTTCTTAGTTTGCGTAGGCAAATCGTTTACCCTGGATACCGCTTTTGTGTTCAAACCTATGCTTTCTGCCCTTTCTCTTGTAATTTTTATTTGATTGTATTTGACGATTGTGCTTTTTACTGTATTTGCAATGATGTGTACTTTCGGACGGAACAAGGAACGCGACCAGAGCCAAAACGACGCAAAACAATGACACAGTGTATATAGTGCAGTCTACGTTCAGTATTAATTAGTGATACTTTTAAAGAGTGTGAAACAAGTTTTGTTTTGAATTCATTCCATAAAATGTTAACCTTTTCAATGAATTTCGCAAACATTTTTAGATAGAGATTTGAAAAAGAAACTGTATATAGTGCTCATTAAGTTTCAAAAACTACTACGTAAAGTTCGTCAATTTTAAAACAGATATTTTTAAAAAGCTTTGTAAGTTACACACTTAATGCTTATGGACTTTTTTAACATAGTATTGACGTATACGTCAATGTGCAAGTTATTTGCAAATTCGCACATAAACATGGTACAATTCTAGAAATACCAAAGCACAATATGGAAATTTTATTCCTTCTAAATTGTGAGTTGCTTAAAATGAATACGACTTTGTCAAGTCATGGAAAAATGAAAGTACTACCGTGTGCAAAAGAATCCGACCGTCACTACTCCACGCGTCAGTGATTTACAACGCTAGCCTTATGGATGGTCTCTTGCGCGCGGGGTAGCGACGGTCGGATTCTTTTGCACACGGTAGTACATGAGCATTTCTCAGTGTGTACTGTTCTGTCGTGCTTGTCGCTTTGCTGTGCGTGCTCCTTGCCGTCCCGCTTCGAGGTGGCGTTGGCCGTCGCTGAGCAGCAGGTTGGTGTTGTAGGCGAAAACGCAGCCTGCAGGACGCCTTCATGGCCCCGGGGACCAAGTGGTGCGGGCGGCACCACCGCGCCGACGCGTACTCCTCGCTGGGCGCCTTCAGTCGGACGGACCGCTGCTGCAGAAGGCACGACCAGTGCAAGATGGCCATCCCCGCCTTCCACACCAAGTTCGGCCTCTTCAACTACCGGCCCTTCACCCTCAGCTACTGCGGCTGCGACAAGAGGTAGAGTAAGCTGGGCTGGGTTCAGGGGGTTCTGCTCACGCGGGAGCGGAGGGAAGGTTAGGCCCCTCACTGATGAAACGGAAGCCTAGTTGTCACGCTTCATTCAAGCGTGGTAGTCACTTCGCTTCAAGGCGTTAATGTTCGCTTCGGTTCTGCCAGTGCTGTGGACGCTGGGTTCAGGAAGTCCTACTCGGCGAGCGCAGGGAGTGTTAGGCCCCCCATCCTGTGGACAGGGCTTGCGTTATGTTCCCTCCAGGGTCCCGTTGACTTTCCAGGTTCGCGGATATGAGTTTTGTCTCTACTTTGCGATTCGATCGCGAGTCCGTTGGTGTCTCTGTGTTGGGGTTGGTTGACCCATTAGATATCGGTCACATGGAGGCAGGGTGGTTTGCAAAACAGGGAAAACACCTGTTCCTGATATTCCTGTGGAAAAGGAGAAGGCTAGATTATCACCAACAGCTGAAACTGTAAGAATAGAAGAGAGTGACAAAGAAAATTAGGAAGAAAATAGGAAAGAAAATAAAGAAGAAATACACGAAGAAAATGGAGAAGAAATACGCGAAGAAAATGAAGAAGAAATACAAACGAAGAAAATGAAGAAGTAGAAAAAAGACAATTAGGAAGAAATTAGACAAAAGAAAATCAGGAAGAAAGTAGACAACAGAAAATCAAGAAGACGAGAAGAAAGCTGAACAGAAGGCACAGGAGAAGCGCCGGAAGACCTACCTGCTGCTGTCCGGTGCGGTGTTGGCGTTCGGCGCGCGGTGCGGCTGGCGGCCTGGCCCACGGCCTGGACGGCCTCGGCTGAGCGTGGTGGTGTGCTTTCAGGCGGAAGCGCGACCTCCTGGACGCCATGCGCGTCCCCGGCACCAAGTGGTGCGGCAAGGGCTTCTCGGCCACCTCCTACAAGCAGCTGGGGGCCTTCTCGCGGGTGGACCGGTGCTGCCGGCACCACGACATGGGCTGCCGGCACTACATCGGCGCCCTGGAGGAGAAGTACGGCCTCTTCAACTGGAGAGTCAACACCGTCATGCACTGCTCGTGCGACAGAAGGTAGGACGTCTTTTTGCTCGTTCGTTTCGTTCTGTAGTGCCGTACCTGTTGCTACTTCTTGGGTGACAGGCCGACGGTAGCACCCCCGGTCTGGTACACTGGAGTAGGGAGTGCGAACCTGATAGCGTCGGGCGTCGCGCGCCAGGACACGGGTCAGTGTCACTGCAGCATGCTAAACTGTCTCGGGCCGCCGACTCTGGCTTGACCCCTTTCGAGGCACATTCTCACGATGGGGAAAATGGATTGCCCATCGAACAGTTCATCGGTGGCACCAAGGGGTTGCACTGAAAAGTTGTGTGCGATGATTGCGGGGACTACTTTGCAGGCGTTTTGCAGCGTGAATGTGGAATTTATTCAAATTTTGGCAAAGTTGTTTCCGCCTCTGCTGGTACCATTCCCATGCAAGAGAGTAAACAGCAACATCTCCAAATGAGCCTGAATTCGAGTCTTCCTGAACTGGTCCTCCAAAAATGAGCCAGAATTCAAGCCCTCCAAAGCTCATCATCCATAAAGGAACCCTAACCCGAGTCCTCCATAAAATGAGCCCGAAATCGAGTCCTCTTGAACGATCCACCGAGTGCGATGCGATGCCTTCGAGATGTCCCTCGCTTCCTCGTTGGCCCCCAGCCGCCTCGCGGTAATCGCTCAACCGCGGGGCGTGGTCCGGCGCGGCGCCGTGATGTCGATACTATCGAACCGATCGAGTATCGATTATTATTGTCGGCCAATTTGCTCGACGGCTTGTCATCGATCTGACGGCTGCAACCCGCTTTTTACTAAGTTGTTTTAAATAATTGATCAGGCCGGCCGCCTGAGCCAAGGCTGAGCGCGTGCATTTCTCCGTTCACTCCACTCCCCACCCTTCCATCTGTCGGTCTTTCTCAGACACACTCACCCCCCCCCTCTCTCTCTCTCTCTCTCTCACACACACACACACACACAGACACTCACACGTGTGGTCCACCTTTTAGCCCGGCGCTACGCGTGAATTGGATTGGCATGCGTACAAATCCAGCTCGCCCGGTCCGCGTTTGTGCGTGTGCGTGTATGTGTGTGTGTGTGCGCGTGCGTGCGTGTGCGTGAGTTGCATGGGGTCTCGCAACCGCAATTTGGAGTCTTGCTCCTTTCGAAACCACGTCACAAGGAAGGAACACTCGCATTTTCGTCGTTTTTCTCGCGCGGGAAGGTTGAACCCATTTCCGAAGTGAGACCCGTTTCCGGAGCGGAAGAGACACGATCCAGGAACTGTAGCGATTTTGCTCTTTCGTCCATCATTTCGGGTGGTCTCCGACATTGCTCGGCCAGTTCCGCAAACTGATTCCGAACAGTTTTCTGGTCGCTCTGTCTCTGTCGCACTCATGCCGGAGGGTCGACAAGTGTGAGAGAGACAGGCGATTCACGCGCATTCTGGTCACGTCCGCGGCGGAGTGCACGCCGCGCTTCGTTCTAATTCGTCAACGAATAACACGCGGAGCCGTTCCCATTGATTGAAACCTGCTGAGCGATTTCCAACAGCCCGCCGAGAGAGAGAGAGAGAGAGAGAGAGAGAGAGAGAGAGAGAGAGAGAGAGAGATGAAATCATTGTTCGGAATCAGCCCGCTGCCCGCGTTCCCGTTTGGTTCGGCCCGTCTCGGCACGCCTTTCTTTTAGCATGCGTGCGTGGCGTGCCTTGCGTGCGTGCATGGCAAGGCGTGGCGTGCGATGAGCTGTCGCGCCGTGGCAACGCACGCAGCCCTAATAGCCATTCACGGGACGATCGGGCCGTCATACCGCCAGCTGATTAATTGCCTAATTGGAACAACAAACTCCTCGGTTCGTTAATAGTCGCACACTGCAGCCGTGCTGCAGCCAGACGCAGCCGGGCGATTCGGATTGGTCGCTCCGTCTCTGTCGCACTCATGGGGCGCTCCGTAAGGGTGCGAGAGAGACAGAGCGAAGCGGCCCGCTCGTAAAAAGGCCGAGAGAACGAGGGCATTACGGATCCAATCGGATCGCAGCGCACATTTGGCGTTCGCTTTCGAAGACAGTTTACGCCGCGAGAAATCCGGACCGCTGTTTCAATCGCCGCGGAAGTTGAGCAAAGAAAACCAGAGAAAAAATTTCTGCCTCGTGTGGTCAAAAAAATTGTACAAAAAAATTTGAAATGGCATTGGGAAAGGCCAACCCAGGGGAAACTATACGGCTACTTCGTGCTTAAATGTTTAAAAAAAAAAACACTTTGAAAATTGTGTTACTAAATAGGTTCAAAAGGGTTTATGAATTTTGAACATCGATTCCAAACAATTTTCATTGCACCGTGACCGAACTTGTGAACTGTACGTGGCTCAGCCCATTTTAGGCATGTGAGGTTTTCGCTAAAATTTGTACCAAAAAACGCACAGATCTGTGCGAAATATCGAACAAATTTGTACCACTTTTATTTTTCCAGTGAACTTAATCCTAACCGCTTTGCATTTAAGATTTCCGAAACTTCCGATGGTCCTGCTTGTCTGGGCCGTTTGATGGGACGATCAAAAACCATCCAGCAAAGCTACGCACCCTCAGATTCTTATGCTGAAAGGGCCATCGTAACATACGTTGAAATGAGAACATACGTACTACAATCAAATTCATGCGTAATACGATCAAATTCATGCGTAATACGATGATATACATGCGTAATACGCTGAAATTCATGCGTAATACGATGAAAAATTGGCATATTACGTATGTGCAAATTTATGCGTACCTTACGATGAAAAACCATCGTAATACGCATAAAAACGAGCATAAGAAGTTGAGTGTGCGGCCAATTAAAAAGTTTGATCTTTCGGCACAATTTCTTAGTGTCAAAGTGGTGTCAAGTATTGTTCCGCGCATTTCCTAAATTAATCTCACGTTCTTCATAATATCACCCCCCCCCCCCCGCACCTGTCGCCCGATTCTGGGAACGGCTCGGCTCCTTGCATCGCCTTGCATGGCAGCGGGAGATAGTCCTCCCCTGGCTGCCGACGCCGCGCCTACACTGCCTTGACGTCCGGTGGCGTGAGCCAGCAGAGCCAGCCGAGCCAGCGGAGCCATCACGCGGAGATTTCTCGGAAAGCTAAACGTTCCCTCGTCTGCCAAGCCACAGCGCATCCAAAATTTGAAAAAAAAATAAACTTAACCATTTTTAGGTACAAAGTTCAACCACTTTGGAAAGTCCCAACACAATCGTACAGAAAATTTCGAAAAAATGTGAAAAAAGAGGATAAAATCACACGGGGGGTGGACATAAGACTTCGTCGTGACTAAAAAATGTAGAAAAATCCGGAAAATGTTGAACGATGGAAGCTTGTTTTCTCTATTTTCTGGCTAGTCACCGCTGTTTCGCTGCGGCCGAGGTACTCACGAGTATTGACCGACGGGTCGACCTCTCTGTGTGCGCAGTGTGAGTTTCAGTTTGCCCAAACGGCCCTTCGCGTCCCGTCGCGTCCCTTCGCGGCGGCGCGGCCAGTGTAGTGGAGGCCCTTCTGCCCTCGGAACGCACAGTGGGCCAGAAGGCCAGAAGGCCCACTGTGGAACGCCCGTTCGTGGACGTGGACGCCTGTGCGTTCGAAGGGCCCCTCTCGAGCAGTTCCGCAAGGCCCCCCCCCCCCCCCCGAAAAATAACCGTTCCACACAGACCTTCCTTCCACGACGCGGGGACGTGCGTCGCGCACCTGCACAGCGCCCCAGTGCACCTGTGGGACGCGGTGCGTCACCCTCCTAGCGGCCCCGTCGTCGCTCTGTCTCTCTCGCAGCCCTACGGGACGTCCCATGAGTTCGAGAGAGACAGAGCCGCGTTCGGAACGAGCATAAGCGCGGCATCCGCCGGGCCGTGCCGAGCCCTGCGCACCTCGAATCCAGTTGGCTAGAGGGACAGTATGGAGACGTTAGGGGGTGCACTGGAATGCCACCGGACCGATGCTCCCACCTGTCAGGGCGTCCGTCTTGGACTTCGGACCCTTGTCACCGCACTGGACTACTAATTGGAAACTGGAAAGGGAATGGCATCGCACCCACTGTGGGACTCTGCCAGAGGAGCCAGGCACGGATCCAGGGAGAGAAAAGGGGGGGGGGGCTATGGAGGCAGCAAAGCCCCCTGGAAGGTAGGCAAAAGGACACAGTTTTACCTCACCAGGCAACGTTAGCGGAACCCGTCTTAGGATCCGCCCTTGAGTGCAGTAGTACCCAGCAAGGGGCTTCCCTGCGGCCGCGCTCTGCCTCTCTCGCACTCATGGGGCGTCCCGTAGGGGTGCGAGGGAGACAGCGCGGTGGCGGCTGGGTGTCTGGGACCGTGTTTGTGCTGCTGCGGCCGCCAGGTACATGCAAGTCACACCTGGGGATCCCACTCGAGGCCGTCCTCCTGTAGTGCAGTGATTCCTTCGGGAAGGGCCTGGGCCTCGACGCATGCGCGCTCCAGCGTCGCTCCAGCCACGACAAACCTGAGCTACCTGCACAGCTCTTCGTTTTGGCGTGCGGTCGAAAGGCCAGGGCCCTGCACACTGATTCCGAGAGTCGTTTTCGTCGCTCTGTCTCTCTCGCACCTATACGGGACGCCCCATGAGTGCGAGAGAGACAGAGCGACGAAAACGACTCTCGAAATCAGTCTGCAGGCTAACGCCTCGTCACTGCACTGCCCATTCAATCGCAGAGTGTGACTCCGGCCGCTTTTTGGCGCCGATTCGACCGCAACGCAGCGAGAGAGCATGGTGCGTTTCCCAAAGCGCGAAGTCGAGTCCCCCACACTGTAAAGCTACTACACTGCACTCCAGGCGACAGGACAGGAGGGCCCGTTGTCTGGACCAGCATCCTCCCGTCTGGTGCTTCGCCTCTCTCTCTCTCTCTCTCTCTCTCTCTCTCTCTCTCTCTCTGTCACACACCTGTGGAACGCCCCGTGGGTGCGAGAGAGACAGAGCGACGAGAGCACTTTTCCGGAATCGGCATCCTGCCGGGGTCCCTTCACGGGCGCCGTCCCGCGGGGGGTCCTGGAGGCTGAGGCAAAAGCCTCAAGCCAAGCCTCAGGCAAGCCTCAGGTGAGAAGGGGGCATCCCTAAATCCTTAAATCACATCGGGACGTTGAATCATTAAGAGGGTCGATCATGTCGAAAGATGATCTCGGCCCGGCTGCCGGCGTATGTTTCGACACAGCGGTGGCGGTGGGTGGCGCAGCACTCGCTCTGTCTCTCTCGCACCCACACGGAGCGCCCCACGAGTGCGAGAGAGACAGAGCGACGAAAACGACTCCCAGTCCGCGCAGCTTGCACACACGGGGACTTTATAATGCCGGCCCGCTCAAACAAACACTATCAAGCGGCACCTAATGGAACGGCTCAGACGCGCCTCGTGATGGATATCTTTGATCCGGGGCCCGGAGTGCCGGACCGGCAGTCGCTCTGTCTCTCTCGCACTCATGGGGCGTCGCGTTGAGGTGCGAGGGAGACGGAGCGACGAAAACGTACGAAAACGATTCTCGGATTTTGTCAGCTCTCTGTCTCTCTCGTACTCGTGGGGCGTCGCGAGGAGGTGCGCGAGCGACTAACAGGACTTTCGGAATCAGTCTGCTGCAGGCTGTGTCGCTCTGTCTCTCTCGCACTCGTGGGGCGTCCCGCAGGGGTGCGAGAGAGACAGAGCGACGATCCGCGTGTGGGATCGCACGGCCCTTGATCCTGCTTAGGGAGACCCGGAGGCTACCCGTCTTCCCGGCTTGTAGAAACAGACAGATGCATCGGTGTGTGTTTAGCTCGGCTTATTCGACCACCAGCACGCTGTGAAACCGAGGGACCTTTTACAAAATTAAGAAGTAGCTAGGACCATTCGTTTTTGTTTAGGCTTGAGACTAACGACTTCACTCACTGTCCCTTTCACTCAGTAAAATTATTTAGACCTGCTGATCTGGACAAGCAAAATAAAAGCAAAATAAATTTTGATAAAAAAATATAAATTGCAGCTTTATTAAGAAAAATAGAGAGTTGATTACTCTTTTTCGATATTTGTTATTATTATGCAAATTTTACTGACTGAAAAAAAAAAGATAGCAGCACAATGGGCGGGTGGGCGGGACCAGTTGTAATGTGTGACTTTCACAGAAGCCATCATTCTCATTTGGCTCTGCCTGGCCGGCTTGGCCCGGCCCGAGACACTGGGGGATGAAGCCGTTTGTAATGTGGTGACGGGGTGATATCTTGCTCCGCCGCTCCGCCCCGCCCTCCACTTCACAACAAAGAAATATGCCAAAAAAGGACCGAGAGTGGAAATCGGCAGGCTTGTAAAGGTTCGAGATACAGACCGATGATAGCAGTTATTTATGTTCGGTCGTCGCGTCTCTGCATGATGTCTCGCAGGAGGGCCTTACCGAAACCTTCACCGAATGTCTCTCTGTCCGAGTACCATTTCTTCAACTTTTATTTCTTTCAGATGAAGGCATAAGGTCGCACACAAAATCATAGTTGCGTAAAATCTCAAAACGTATGTTGTCTTGCCAACTTTTTCGTATTAATTTGAAAAGAGAATCGCACACATTGCGTGCAAAAGTTTGTGCGCAAAAAGAACATATGTGCAAAGTTACGTTCAAAATTTGTATAGAAAATTTTAGAGTGCATTTATTCTAAATACATGATTAATTTTAAAAAACTCAATGAATTAAATTTTTTTTGAAAGAAAAATGTACTTTTTGGGGAGAATTTTTTTTTTTTCATTGTGGTGTACGGTAGCAAGGTGAGCTTTATGGTAAAACGCACAGCGGTACCAGAATTCCAGCCCCGGAGGGCCACAAACAATTAGTGATATTCGTGTATCGGAATGAGGTCACTGCGCCGGTTATTGTTTTCCGCTTGACGCGCCCGGAATGTCACCGCCGCCTCGAAAAATTTGAAATATGATCCGGATAATTCGAGAGGGCATTCCATTCCGATCAGTCCGGCCGGCCGTGGCGCAGGCCGGGGCGCAGGCAGCGCAGCGTGGCGTGTTTGGGACGCCGCGCGATAGATTCGGTCGTGGGAAATCCCCGAAGGCGGCCCGCCCAGGTCAGCCCTGTAGGGTCCCGTCCCACCCCGCCCTCTACCACTACTATGATGTCGGCGTACAAAAGGAGCTTTTTCGCTCCGCGAGGCTGATTCCAAACGGTTCTCTCTCTCTCTCTCTCTCTCTCTCTCTCTCTCTCTCTCTCTCTCTCTCTCTCTCTCGCAAGCACCGCGTGAGATTTACGACAATTTACGACAGTCAGCAGAAGTCGTGCAGTCCGGCGTGCACCTCGTCTTACCGAAGGGATTCCCCGACGAAATACCAATTACCCGCCCGATCGATCATTGTTCTCGCTGCAGGTGCCACCGGTGTGCCGCACCACTGCAAGGTGACGAACCCGAAAACGAAAACAAAAACGAAAATGCGCCAACGTGTCGTTTCCGGCACGGCGAGGATCCCCGCGTCAGTCATCGTGTGCGTCAGCAGTGTCACCGGTTCGTCAATACAGATAGCCGCGAAGGACTTCAAGGCCGACCTGATTGCGGGGCCCTTCACCGCGAGCCCCTCCACTTTCGGACAGCAGGATGCCAAACCGCTGCACAGTGGGCCAGAAGACCGGCGCAGGCGGCCAAAGCTCTGCAGACGCGTTTTGAGTTCCAGAGTCGCTACATAGGACTCGAACCAAACTTGTGACCTCACCAATGGATTGCTCTCCTAACGAGGAATCCATTGCTGGGGTCACACGCTCGGTTCAAGTCCTGCTGAGCGACTGTGGAGCTCAAAACGCGTCAAGAGTTTTGGCCGCCTGCGCCGGCCTTCTGGCCCACTGTGCACAGGTGTGAAGGCAAAGAGTGCAGCTTCGCCCCTCCCTCAGGCCGGCGCTGGCTCCACCACTGCCAACGCGCGCCATTCATGCATCGGAGGAGCGATAAAATAAAAGGGGAAAAGAAATCGGCGGGACTCGAACCCGGCGCGCGGGAGCGAGAGTTACACGCACGTGAAGGCGGGGAATTTTATTTACGATGTTGTAAGGAGTTGGCCGATTCGTGTATGTCGTCTACGTGTCCCGCCGCGCTAAGGAGCGGCGCGCAAGGTCTTCTTTTTGTTTTTCTTGTTTTTGTCTTTTCGGTTCGGGGCGCCCCCGGGACGCTTTACGATGACGTTACGTGACAATGATTGTGATGATAATGCACAGTGATGATCGGGGCCGTCTGATGCGCTAGGATAGGACTCTAGGAGACACGGCGTGGCACGGCATGGCAGGGCATGGCAGGGCAGAGCATGGCAGGGCAAGGCATGGCAGGGCAGGGCAGGGCAGGGCATGGCAGGGCATGGCAGGGCATGGCAGGGCATGGCAGGGCAGGGCAGGGCATGGCAGGGCAGAGCATGGCAGGGCAGGGCATGGCAGGGCAGGGCATGGCAGGGCATGGCAGGGCAGAGCATGGCAGGGCAGGGCATGGCAGGGCAGGGCATGGCAGGGCATGGCAGGGCAGGGCAGGGCAGGGCAGGGCAGGGCATGGCCAGTCCCGCGGTTGGGTTTGGGTTGCACAGTGACGCCGTGCCGGACAGTGCCGGGCCGTGCCGGGCCGTGCCGGCGGGTCGCGTGGTGAAAGTTT